CCCGACCCCGAGACTCCAGTCTGCTGGACTTCCGGCGCTGTCGTGGACTAGCTTTTTCTTTGAAGTCACTGGGCCTGCAGTTTTGCCTTGTCTGCAAACATAGCAGTAATAAGTGCTGCCTACTTGACAGGGCCGTTGAGGAAGCACAGTGCCTGCTCGTCAGCTCGCAGTATTTTTTGTATTTAATCATGCATGCGGTGCTCTGTCTGCAGCATATATTCCAGCAGGCCAGAAGAGGGCACCAGATCTCATTACGGATAGTCGTGAGCCACCATGTGGTTGCTGGGAACTGAACTCAGAACCTCTGGAAGAGCAGCCAGTGTGCTCTTAACCTGCTGAGCCGTCTCTCAGCCCCAGCAGTATGTGTGTTCTTAGCTCCCCACGTTATACGGGTCCTGCGACTTGCCCGCGGGTAGACTGCTAGGTGGAGACGATGCAGCACTCCCGGCCTTGGGTTCTGTCTCTTAATCCCCGGCGTGTTGCTGTTAGAACGCTAATTGAGCTGTGCATAGGCCCGAAATCGCCATCCATTGTATAAGCTTGGATTGGTTACAGATTTCCACCCTTTCTACCTGTACTGTCTGTCTCTGCTGTATTATCGAGTTTTATTAGGTACTTACTCAAAATTAGAATGCGTGCAACAGCACAGACCTGAAAACCTGCCTGCTGTCACACAGTTGCTGATTTGTTAATCTTGCCTAATGCCAAGTCCTCTGTCTCCTAGACTCAGTGATACGGCTGGTGACTTTGGGGTTTTACAGTAGTCTTAGTTCCCTTCAGTTTTCATGAACTGGTGTTTATAAAAATTCAAATGGTGGATTCTGCAGCCCATTTTTCTGTTGATTTGAGAAAAGAAAATAAATTTAATGGTGTCTTCTGCACCTTATTTCCTGTCAGAACGCCGTCTGGGATGACTTGTAGTATCAATAGGGGATATATAGCAAAAGGACACAGATGACATTAGATCAGTATAACAAGAAAGGGTTTTTTTAAATACAAAAGGCTTCATAACATTTTCATATATGTAATTATGTCATTGCACCTTGCTTTAAGCACCCCTCACTATCTCCTCCCCGAAGTAGCTATCTCATATATACATGTATTATGTACCATTAAATCTAGGTTCCACATAGGAGAAAACATGCAGTATTTTGTCTCTCTTGTTTCCCTCTTATTTCCTTCCCCCTCCTCCCTTTAGACCTCTTCCTTTTCCCTCAGACACACACAATCAAGATTTTTTTTTTTTTGAGACAGGGTTTCTCTGCTATCCTGAGTCTAGCTTTGTCGATCAGGTTGGCCTCTAACTCACAGAGATCTGCCTGCTTCTGCCTCCCAAGTGCTGGGATTATGTGCTACCACCACCTGGTTAATCAATTGAGATTTTAACATCTGAGAGAAAACATATTTGCCTTTCTGAGTCATTGTTACTTTGCAACTGAATAAAACTCCATTGTGTGTACATACCAAACTCTAGCCATTCATCTAGAATGGGCATGAAGGCTGGTTTCACGAAAGACTTCAAGGGTGGCTCAGCAAGTAAAGGCACTTGCTGCCAAGTCTGATAACCTGTGCTGGATCTCCATCACATGTGGTGAAGGAGAGAGTGGGTGACCACTTGTATTCAAAGGCTCCTACTCTGTCCTGCCATGGTTCCAAGGCTTGCTGTTTTTTCCCTCAGTTCATATTTTCTACTTAAATTTCTCCCTATATTCAGTGTAACATTTCTTGCATCCTTTGTCTACCTCAGTTGGTCCCCACTACTTACACAGGCCAGGTGGGAGACCCTGGAGACCAGGACCTCGTTATTGTATGCATTGCTGGTTTTATGGAAGGGTACAGGTGAGGTAGAATTTGGGCAGTCTGGTATGTGTTTAACTATTGCCCAAACTGATAAACAGTGTTGTCTAAATGATGGAATTATGTTCATTTGTGAAAGGGAATCAAGTAGTGATAAGGAATAGCATGGATGACTAGAGACTGATCATTTTAAATGCCACAAGTTGGTTAGGATACCACATACTATATGTATGTATGTGTGTGTGCCTAAGTTCCATATGTGTACCCATGGAGGTCAAAGCTTGACATAAGGTATTTCTATTGCACTCCATTTTTTTGAGACAGGCTTGCTCACTGACCCTGGAGCTAGGCTGGCTGGAAAGCCAATCCCTGGGATCCACCTGTCTCCCCCTTCCAGTTCTGTGGTTGTGCTTGTCTTTTGCATGGGTGCTGGAAATCTGAGCTTAGGTCATCATGTTTGAACGACAAGCACTGCACTCACTGAGCCATCTCCCTGGCCTTTGCAAGCTGTTTGATATAAGTCCAAAGTAGAGTATATAGGGACCAAAAGTAATGGTTACTTAGGGGGGATAGCAGAGGGTGGTGACAGCTAAAGAATTCAGGGCTTCGTGGGCAATGAAAATATTCTAAAACTGATGAGGGTTGCATACACTAAAAACAATTGAATTGTACACATCCAGTGAACAAATTATATCAATTCTCTCCTAGGAAAGGCTAAAACACGGTGTTTCTAAGCTGAGAGTGTGGTGGATGCCTGTAATCCTACAATTTAGGAGGCTGAGGCAAGAGGATCAGTATATGTTCAAGGCCAGCATGGCCTTCATAGCAAGACTGTCTCAAAAAGAAAAAACAACGGAGCCTCTATTCCTCCTATCTGTAGTCTTCATGGATAGCTTTTAACAGTTGTTGCACAGTCTTTCAGTTATACCTTATACATGTTAATTTAAATGTGATAATCAGATAGTAGTATCATTAAACCCTTTTTCTTAAGTTTTGAGTTATACACATAAAGAAAAATCTGGCTAGCAAGCCATACTGCAGTAGCAGCTCATCAGATATTAGACAATTGGCTTAGGTTCTGAGACCCCAGGACTGACTCTTAAATGTGTTTACAGCCTGTGCTGTGTTCCACTGGGGTGCTCCTAGGAGGACACTGCATGACGGCAGGGTGAAAATGAGCCTTGACTTCTCCCAAATAAGCAAGTGTGCAGTGACTACAGCATATTCTTCCACACAGGGTCAAAATTATATGAAATCACTGACAGCTTCTGTTATCAAACACCTAAAGGAAACTTTATACACCTTGATGGCAGCAGCAGCCACAGACTCCCCTCCTTCCATCACAGCATTAGCAGGACCCACCTCCCTCCATCTTCCCCCTCCCCCCCGGCACAGCATCCTCAGCAGACTTAACTTCCTCTCCTCACATTGTCTCTCTGCAACAAAAAAAGCTTTAAAACTCACTTTAGTGGGTGTCAGAAGCAAAGGACATGCTATGCTGAGCTAAAGCTATGCTGAGCCGAGGAAACTGGGTGTTGAGAGATGTCCTGGATTGTTACCTGTTGCTGTGTCTCAGCTCCTATTCTGTCCTGTGTTCAGAATAGGTTGTCACCACTTAACGGGTGTAGTGGGTAGAATGCCCCCTCCCCCCACATATCTGAATTCTGACTGATGTAGCTTGTGCAAATGTGATGGAAGATGTTGGATCAGAGATTATCTTGGACAAACTAGGTGTGCACACTGTTGTCAAAAAGAAGGACGGGAATGGGAGAAAGGAGATACCAGGATGGAGGCAGGAGTTGGAGTGCTGCGGGGCTAGAATCAATGTAGGTAGCTTTTGAAGGCTGGGAAGTTAGAAGGAACTCGTTCAGTCAAAAGGCCTTAGGAGGAGTGCAGCCTTGCCGCCCCACTGCAGACTTCTGACCTCCGCGAATGGTGAGAAATGTGTTGTAAGCTAGTAAGGCTGTGGCCACTTCTTAGAGCAGCTTGGGATAAACACTGCAGGCCTTTTGAATGACCTGGTAGCTGTGACCAGCCGTATATGAATGGCAAGCATTGGCTGTCCCTCCTCTGACCACTTCCTGCTTCCTGTGGGTTCCTGTGTTTTCAGTCTTACCCACAGTTTGCAGTGGGGTTCCACATTGTTCCAGTAATGTGTAAATAGTTACACTGGGTGCCCCTGTTTCCTGTGTGCCCGAGCCTTATGAGTGCCCTACCTATATTTACTCAGTCACTCTCCCAGCCGCTCTGGAGCCCACAGTTGATGGAGGTGGAGGTTCTTCAGGAGGGCTGTGAGGTCATGTTGTCAACACTGACAGAGCTGGCCCCTTGTCCGGCTCTTTATGCTTCTCTTGTCATTAATCAACCTGGCTTTCCTTCAGTTTTGCAGAGGACACAGATTTGTTTCCCATCACCCATAGCAGGCAGCTACAACCACCTGTAACTGCAGCTTCAGGTTTTACTATTCAGGCATCTGTACTGGCCTGCCCTTGGGGTTCTGACAGGGTACACCCCCAGCTGCAGCCATTAAGAGCACCACCTGTGCATATTCAGTATGTTCCCTTTTAAAAGGGCCCTGCCCACCTCCCAGCCTTCTCTCTCTCTGTTTCTCCCTCTGTCTGTTCCCCCTCTCTACCTTCCTCATCTTACCTGTCTGTCTGTCTGTCTGTCTGTCTGTCTGTCTGTCTGTCTGTCTCTCTCTCTCTCTCTCTCTCTCTCTCTCTCTCTCTGCCTTCTGCCCCTCTCTCCTCTCTCCTGCTGCTGTTCCTGTCCCCGGAGGCCAGTCTCCCCCCTTCCCTTTCCCTTTTTATGATTACTTTCCCTAATAACCCCCCACCCCCCACTTGAACCCTGTCATATGGTGTCTTTCTCTCAAGTGCTGCTTTTCTTAAGTTACAACATCAGGGAATGTGACATTTTTGCTGGCCTCTGTGGGCATCTGCACACGTGTGTGTGTGTGTGTGTGTGTGTGTGTGTGTGTGTGTGTGTGTGTGTATGCACACTCACTCACATGCCCATGTACGCACACACATGTACATAGATAAACATGAATAAATAAAAAAAAGTGTCAGAGTTGTCGAGAAGATGTGGCCTTGGTTTTCTAATGTGTGCTCTATGTGTCTCTGCTTTCTTTCAACAATGGTCATACCTAGAAATACCTGAGGAAGAAAGGCAGCCGGGCCATGTTCTGCCTGCCAGTTTGGAGTCCGACAGTTTGAAGAAGAACAGTTGGGGGTTCTTGTTTACTGGGATCATTGGTGGGACACTGGTGACATTGTATGCTGTGGCTACGCCATTTATCACACCAGCCCTCCGGAAAGTGTGTTTGCCATTTGTGCCTGCAACTTCCAAGCAGATTGAAAATGTCGTGAAGATGTTGCGACACAGAAGAGGCTCCCTGGTGGACATTGGCAGTGGCGATGGACGCATTGTGAGTTATGTCAAAGCATTTTAAAGCTTGGAACCAGAATTGTTAAAATTTCTGCTTTATGTTTCTTATGAAGCTTCTGCAAAGATTTGCCAAATGTGACAGTTTGAAAAGTGTGTGTTTCATTTTGTGTTTGGCTAAACTGTTGGACCACCAGCATATGTTTAGCGTTCATTTTTCTCTGGTTGATTTTTTTTTTTTCTCTCATGGAGGAAAAGCGCTCTGTAAACATGTCGGATAGAAAGGAGCAGTTAATTGCTAATTACCAAATAGTCTATTAGAAATTTTTGGTCCAGTGAATGTGGCATGATTACAAGAAAGGAGGACTCGTGGAGTTGAATTACCTTTACTTTTTTGCAGTTTAGATGTTTGCTTTATATTTCTCTGTATTGATACATGAGTAAGTAATGATTCTTTGGAGCTGATAAAAAGTTAAAATAAGAAATACCATTTTTAAAAAAGATTTTATTTATTTATTATGCATACAACATTCTGCTTCCATGTCTATCTGCACACCAGAAGAGGGCACCAGATCTCATAACAGATGGTTGTGAGCCACCATGTGGTTGCTGGGGATTGAACTCAGGACCTCTGGAAGAGCAGACTGTGCTCTTAACCTCTGAGCCATCTCTCCAGCCCCCAAGAAATACCATTTTTGAAGCCCTGCTTGACTAAAGATAGGAATTCAGGGTAGGAATAGATAGTGACATGTAGCTGAAATCCCAGTGCTTGGGAGGTGGAGGCAGGAGGATCATGACTTCAAGGCCAGCTACATGAGGCCTTGTCTTTAAAAAAATAATCAGAATTTTAGTGACTTTAACATGTTGTGATCCCAGCCCGAATCTCTGAGGAAAGACAAGGTCACTGACTGGCAGTGCTCGCTCCTCAGTGAGGACGGTGGCCACATCCTTGGGCTGCATCCTCGGGCCACATCCTGATGACCAGCAGGAGTAGGGACAGCACTGGGAAAGGCTTGTATTCTGGCAGCATGTGTTCTGCATCATATTTGCTAGTCCTGTGGACACTGACTTTGTGTCTGAGACCTGAAGTCATGAAAGAGACACTGAAAAGTGACTCAGCCGCTCTAAACATTTCTCATACTGTGATAAAAGCATCATGAAACATAATGTACCATCTTAACCATTTTCAATTCTGGGATATTAAGTAATTCCATTGTTCACTTGTCATCACTGCCCACCACTGAATGCTTCCATCTGGCTGGGGACGGGGCTTGTGAGCCTCTCTCCCCGTTCCAAGCTAGAAGACTTTATCTTGTGCAGGTGACCACAACTGTTGTGAGTTTCTGAGGGCTGTGGTCTTGGACGGGTTATTTTTATTGCACATTATTCACTATTCACTTATATTCCACTCCCCCCCCCCCCCCCCCCCCCCCCTTGTGGGAAAAAGGGGAGATTTTCCCCCCTTTTTTTTTTTTTTTTTTTTTTTTTTTTTTTTTTTTTTTTTTGCCACCTCGGGTTAGCTGAGCCAGAATCAAGGATGCATTTGTCCAACACAAGCCTGAACTCAAAACGCAGAAAACTTTGGGTTAGTTATGTCTTGTCCATGAACTATAGAATTTAGATATAACTTTTTCAAGACAGAGTTTCTCTGTATAACAGCTCTGACTGCCCTGGAACTAACTCTGTAGCCCAGGCTAGCCTCAAACTCACAGATTCACCTGATGTTAATTATATGAAATAATGGGTTCCATTGTGAAATTTTGTCCATATAGATAATACACTTTGATCCTGCTCACTCCATTTACCACCTCTTAGCTCCTGTTTTAGTTACTTTTCTATTGCTGTGGTGAGACACCATGACCAAGACAACTCATAGAGTGTCTGGGGACTTCCAGAGGGCTAGGTTCCATCACCATCTTGGCAGCAGGCAGGGGTCTGTAACAATAGCTGAGAGCTCACATCTCATCTGCAAAAGACTGACAGAGAGCTAGCTGGGAATGGCATGGGCTTTTGAAACCTCAATTCTGCTCCCAGCGACATGGCTCCTTGAATAAATCCACTCTTTTTTTTTGTTTGTTTGTTTGTTTGTTTTGAGACAGGCTTTCTCTGTGTAGCCTTGGCTGTCTTGGAACCCTCTGTGTAGATCAGGGTGGCTTTGAACTCCGAGATCTGCCTCCCGATTACTGGTGTGCACGACCACCACCGGCAAGTCCACTCTTACTAATCCTTCCCAAACAGCTTCACCAACTGGGGACCAAGTATTCAATTATATGTGCTTATGGGGGCCATTCCCATTAAAACTACCATATTTCCCCTTTCCCTCATCCCTTCCTCTTTCCCAATAGCTCTCCAGAAGTACCTTTAAATGGACTCTTTTAGGGTTATAAACCCTAAAAAGGGAACTCTCATGCAAGATGATTTTTTTTCTTTTGCTAACCCTTTGCTCCGTCTAGGTGATCGCAGCTGCAAAGGAAGGGTTCCCAGCTGTGGGCTATGAACTGAACCCCTGGCTGGTTTGGTATTCCAGATACCGTGCCTGGAAGGAAGGTGTGCATGGCTCTGCCAAGTTTTATGTCTCAGATCTGTGGAAGGTATGTAACGTGGAGGATGATGCTAGACAAGCGAACTTTCTTTAGTCATAGTTAGTGTGACTGACAAGAAAGGTAAAGTCCAAGTTAGCATTCTGGCATAACAAAGTGTAAACACTTTGTGACCTGGTAGATTCATAGTAGGCTGTGCTTTAGTGCAGAGGCTTCAAGTTTGGGTAAAAGTCATATGAATGCTAAGAATTTATTGACTAAAGCATTTTCTTTTTTTTGTGAAATAATGAGATACTTCATTTCACTTGGAAATCATAGGTTATTCTTGATAAATATTTGGCTTTTCTCTGTGTATGCTTATATGTTCAGAGAGAGACAAAGATGGATAATAGAAGGAAGAGGCTAGGAACCATGCTAGGGTGGCTCCTTCTAATCATAAAATAAGGATTTTCTAAATATATTTGTACTCTTTATTTTTATTTTTTTTATTTATGTTTATTCTTCTCTCATATATTATATCCTGACTGCAGTTACCCCTCCTTCCCCTCCCCTTGGCCTTTCGCTCCACCTTCTCTTTCTCTCCCAGATCCTCCCTCCCTTCATCTCCCCTCAGAAAAGAGCAAGCCTTTTCTGGGACAGTCACCAAACATGGCACAATATGCTGCTAAAAGACCAGACACATACTATCAATTCAAGACTGGATGAGACAACCCAGTAGGAAGAATAGAGTCCCCTAAGTAGACAAAAAAGTCAGTGACTGTCTGTGCTTCCGCTGTTGGGAATCCCACAAGAACACCAGGCTACTCAGCCGTAACATATAGACATAGGACCTGGTCAGATGCCTGTAGGCTCACTAATGTCAGCTAGCTCCCATGAGTCCTGGTCAATTGACTCTGTGGGCTGTGTTCTCATGGTGTCTTTGTCACCTGTAGTTCCTCCTGTCCTTCCCCCCACTCCTCCGCAGGACTTCCCAAGCTCCGTATACTGTTTGGCTGTGGGACTCTGCATCTGCTCCCATCAGTTGTTGGATGAAGTCTCTCTAGTTTCTTTGTTGAGGATTCTGGTAGGTACTGGCCCCAGAACACTCTGCAGGCAGGACAAGCTATTGGTCTCCACTTGAGACTTTGCCTGGTTACAGAAGATGGCTGGTTCAGGATCTGTGTCCCTGTTACTAGGAGTCTTTTGTTAGAGTTACTCTCATGATATCCCTTGTACAAGGTATCTACATCATCCCTGAAATGGATCTGTGGATTGTAGCATGATTTTCCTTTACTTTACAGCTGCTACCTACTTATGAGTGAGTACATACTATGTTTGTCTTTCTGAGTCTCAGTTACCTCACTCAGAATTTTTTTTGTTTGTTTGTTTGTTTTTAGTTCCTCCATTTGCCTGCAAATTTCATGATGTCATTGTTTTTAACAGCTGAGTAAATACTCCAGTGTGTGAATGTACCACATTTTCTTTATTCATTTTATGGTTGAGAGACATCTAGGTTGTTTCCAGTTTCTGGGCATTATGAATAAAGCTGATACAAACATAGTTGAAAAAGTGTCCTTGTGGTATGATTGAGCTTTCCTTTGGGTATATGCCTAGGAGTGGTATAGCTGGGTCTTGAGGTAGATTGATTTCCAATTTTCTGAGAAACTGCCATATTGGTTTCCAAAGTGGCTGAACAAGTTTGCACTCCCACCAGCAGTGGAGAAGTGTTCTCCTTTCTCCACATCCTGGCCAGCATGAACTGTCAATTATGTTTTTGATCTTAGCCATTCTGATAGGTGTGAGATGGAATCTCAAATTTGATTTGATTTACATTTCCCTGATGGCTAAGGATGTTGAACATTTCTTTGTTTCTTGGCCATTTGAGTTTCCTCTTTTGAGAATTCTCTATTTAGATCTGTACCCCATTTAAAAAAATTACTATTTAGTTTGTTGATGTCTAGTTTCTTGAGGCTTTGTATATTTTGGATATTAGCTCTCTGTCAGATGTAGAGTTGGTGAAGATCTCATTCTGTGGGCTGCCTTTTTGTCCTGTTGATGACTGTTAGTATTCAGGCATCTGTATTGGCCTGTCCTTGGGGTTCCGACAGGACACTCTCCCAGCTACAGCCTGTGCATATTCACTGTGTTCCCTTTTAAAAAGGCCCTGCCCACCTCCCATCCTTCTCTCTTTCTTCCTCTCCCTTTCTCTCTCTGCCCCCTTTTCCTCTTTCTTGCTGCTCCTGTCCCTGGAGGCCAGTCTCCCCTTTCCCTTTCCCCTTTTTATGATCCTTTCCCCTAATGAAAAACCCTCTGTTTGAACCCTGTGGCATGGCGTCTTTCTCTCTCGAGCTGCTTTTCTTAAATTATAACATTGTCTTTGCCTTACAGAAGCTTCTTAGTTTCATGGAGTCCCATTTATTAATTGTTGATCTTAATGCCTGTGCTATTGTTGTAAAAAAAAAAAAAGTGCCTGTGTTTTGTGTTAGGAAACTTTTCAAAGTGCTTTTTCTTAAATAAGAATTTCCCACTGTAACACTGTCCTCAGCAGCTTATAAAGACACACTTAGATTTTGCTTGCATTTTTTTTTTTCAGGCTGTATATAACTAAATGGTCTCCACAGAGTAAATAAGACTTTTATTGGGCAATAAGAATTTTGACTGGCAAAGCACTTTTACTCCATTTTTCAACTACTGCAAAAGCCATTTTATTGAACTTTTAATGCACTGTTTTAGGGAAGAGGAAGATTAGAAGTCTGAAGAGGCCGCAGTGTGAAACAGGTGGCTGTAGGTGATTTGACTGACAGCAGGGCACAGTTATGCCTTGATGGAGTCATTGTGAAGATGGGGAGATGAGGCCCAGGATGCCTCTGGAAAGCTGATGTACTTGACTGATGTGCATCAAAGTATGGGCGGGGTATTCTTTCTGCTGTGCCTCTTAAGGAGGCTCTTCTTTCAGGGAGTGGTGAAGACCTGCTGCCTGGCCATGTGGGCTCCAGTGAGGACAGGTTTACTGTGATTCTTGACTTCTTAGAATTAATCCACCATTTGTTTTCCATCTTGTTTAGGTCACCTTCACACAGTACTCCAATGTTGTCATTTTTGGTGTGCCCCAGATGGTGAGTATGAATCCCCATCCTCTGGGATACAAAATGTCCCTCATTGGTCCTATCAGCTGCCTGCAGCATGACACCTCTCACACATGAAGTGATGGCTTCCCAGTGACTTTGCAGAAACACTGGGTTTCAGTCCATTGGTTTAATAAAACACTAAGGACTTAAACATTTAATCATTAAAGATTCAGCCACATTTTAAAATTTTAGCTTCAGAAGAAAAAAAATCTCAATGACTTATGGAAGCCTTAACAATCCCTGTTTGAAAACTGCTTTAATGAGGTCCCAGAGTTGAGTGCAGTTGGTGGTTTTCATAGCTGCTCACTCACACCCACTGCAGTCGTTTGGGGAAGTTAATGGGATGTTCCCTTTGAATTGATCATTCTTCAGTTTTGCCAGAAGATAATTTTAAGGGTGGATGAGCATTGACTGGTTTCAATTTCCTCCAATTCACAGATTTGCCAAAGAGCTGAGTATTGAACTTTGATTTTGTACTTTCAAAGTGAAAGTGCCATACTATTTTACTGAAAATGGGCTTCTCTAGCCTTTGCAGAGATGGTCAGGGTAGAGTGAATGCTTCACTGCCATTGCTGGTTTAGGGACCAGAGAAATCAGTCCCTTTTTACTTCTCAAAGTCTGTAATTGTAGTCATAACAATCTCGGTAGAATTGGATGTTTGCTGAAATGGCACTATGTAACTAATCTAAAATAAAAAAGGGAATTTCAGTTTTGTTGTTTGTGTTCTTGTTTATGCCTTAGATTTTTGTTGTTGCTCTTTGAGCTAGAGTGTCACTGTGTAGCCCTGGTGGCCTGGAAATTGCTACATAACTCAGGCTGGCTTTCAACTTGCAGCCTCCAACTTCCAAGTGTAGAGGTTATGGGCATGTGCCACCATGCCCAGCTGTGCTTGGGACTTTCATACACAGTGTCTAACTGCTTGAGAAATCGATCCCCACATTGGAACATTCTTGCTTTGTACAAACGAGCAATGATGGTGTTACAAAAAGTGACTGTATACTGTGTGTAACTCTGCTTTTGTTCTAAAAGTGAAGGCAGGTGTGAGGTCTTGGTCCTTGATCATTTAAAACTTGCTTGGGTCAGGCCTGGGTTCACCCCTGCAATCACAGCACTCAGGAGACCAAGGGAAGAAGGTTACTGTAAGTTTGAGGCAAGCTTGCGTTTCAGAGTAAGGCCCCTCTGTCTCAAATCTCCCACCCCACAAGTAAAAGTAATTTGTGATCATAGACTAGATATTGAATTTTGATGGTGGTTAACTACTTAAGATGTTTGGGCTTTTCCTTCTAAGATGTAAGAATGAGCATATTGGAGACAAGTAACTTCAATATAGACAGTAGAAAAATAGATTTCCTGGGGATTCTGTGCTATCTGGAGTGAGGAAGTTAAGCTGAGATGTAGGTTCTGATGATGCCCTGCTGCTGAGTCCCAGCTGGGGGCAGCAGTGGCCTTTGTAATGCTGAGCAGAGGCTGCTCTGCTGTGCCGCAGGGTTGGTTACACAGTTGGGGGCTGTTTCCTCAGGGGCAGTGTGAGTCTTGCTATTTTGAAAAACACATTTGTAATTATTGCTAACGCTCCTGTACACAGACAAATCTTAACGAAGGAATCTCAGCATTTCACTGTTTCTGGGGAGAAAGAGGAGCTGTGGGAATCCACAGAGCATTGGCATTCCTTAAAAAAGATCCAGCCCGTGTTCTGCACACAGTGGGTTGGCCAGGAGCTCATTTGGCATCTGCTGAGCTGGAGTGTCAGAGGGGCAGGAGAGAATGCTGGCTGGGAAGATGGAGACTAGCTTTTCCCTCTCATAGCTGGGTGGTCTGGGACAGCTCTTTACCTGTCTGTGTAAGGATGCTATTGCATCCCATTCTCCCAGTACCCCTCACAAGGGCTGATGGTCCTCCAATACAAGAGTGTCATGGCAAGTGTTTCAGGGTAGCTGATGCACTGACCGGCACTTGTAGAGCTAGGAGGAGCCTTAGGCAAGTGTGGAGGAGGACAGCAAACATTTAACTCCTCAGCCCTGCTTTTGATACCAACCGGATTATTCCTGATGGCACAGTGCAGTTGTAGGTGGAAATTAGAGCTAACACTTAAATGTAAGTACATATCAAAGTACGATGAGGGTTCCATTTGGGCCTGATGAACACTCTACGAAGGTTGCAAATACTCATATTTAGCATGAATTTATGCATCAAGAGGCTCTTTCCAAAATGTGGAACAGGTTAATTGAATCTTTTTTTTTTTTTTTTTAATCCTCTGTGAGGCTGGAGATATAGCTCAGTGGTAAGAGTGTTTGTCTGTTGTGCATGAAGTCCTGGGTTCAATCCCCAGCACTGCATAAACCAGATGTGCTGGTGCTTGCCTGTAGTCTTAGCACTTGGGAGGTAGAGGCACAGTATCAGGAGTTCAAGGCCATCCTTGGCTACATAGCCTGTTTGAGATCAGCATGGATTACATGAGACCTTGTCTCAAATAAACACCTTCCCTAAGAACCAAAACACTTAACCATAAACCCTCTGTGACTTCTTGCTAATTTAGGGAAAAGGTCCAAACATTGCCATGGGACTCAGACTGGATTGGAGTGGCCCTTGCCCACTTGTGACCTTGTCTTAGTCATTTTTTCATTAGTTCTCTGCACACTTCATCTTGTCAGTCCATGGGCTTTACTGTCCTGCTCTCCAGAGCCTGCACTGGGCTTAGTTAGTGAATGCCCACCCTTCTCTCTCTGAAGCTGTCCTCAGTGGTCCCATGAAACTGTCCACTCTGTCTCATTCAGTGGATATTGTACCCTGTGTACTTCTGTCCCTGCAGGTGTAGTTCATGCTGCAGGTGTGTCTGCTGCAACAGAGACAGGGTCTCCTTATCACTTGACTACATACGTGAGTGAAAAAACGTGAATATCCTGAGGTACCTGGTCACCACTCTAGAGGTGGTGGTAGGACCTGGGAGAGTAGAGCCAATGAATGAGGCAGACTAATGTCTCACGAAATAGCCATCCTTCATTCAGAGCCTCAGACAGGCATCACAGGAGTAAAGTTCTCATGAGCACAAGCTGTACACGGTCACAAGGACAAGCCACATGTGTCAAAACCATGTTTTCCATAGAGTCATAAAGGATAGTTTAAACTTAATTCAGTAACAACAGCAAGCAATAATGAGTAATCTGAAGTAAACTCCTTCCTGACCAGTATACCTGGGAGGAGCATGGAAACAGTCTGAAAACAATTCCATGTTTTAAAGAAACCAAGGTCACAAGACCCTTGTCTTGTTTTCTTGGAGTGTTCTCACAAAAGCACTCCAAGTTCTTGTATGACAGCATTCTTGGAATGTGTTCTGACAGTACCTCTACACTGGTGGAAAGATTATATGTTAAGTGAGAAAGCTACATAAAATTGTCATATGCCAGAGGAGAACATGCTCTGTGGGGTTATCCAGGACAGAGAAGTAGCAGGGCTAGGTCAGCATCCCTGAAAGGATACTGTTCATGAAGAGTCATCCATGTTGAAGACCTGAATGGTGTGCGGGCCTGTTGTCTGGCAAGTGCAGATGATGAGGTGATGTGAAATTTGAGGTGAGTCAGGGAAGGATGCTGGTCCTTCCAAGGGAAGGAACTGGTGAAGGTGAGAAGAGGGCATAGAGACTGGTTAGGATAGGAAAAGACTACCACCACTGCATGGAGGTCAGATCCAAGACATTAGGGATGGGGAGACAGCTATGTGCTCTTTTGGAGGTGTCCAGGTGACAGACGGAGGCTCCATCTGGGGTGAGTTAGCTGGTGAGAAGATGCCAAATTCCAGCTGCACTGCAAAGAGAACTTCAGCAGAGGTCATGGGCATCTCTAGCACTGGTGAGAGACAGAGGAGTCCTGGCCAGCTACTTCTTGTGTTCTGCATCCTGGATGTTTGGTTTGCCAGGAGCTGCTCTGGGAGAGGTATAGGCAGAGCCAGCTGTAGCTGCTCTGTGTGGGCTCCTGAAGTCACACTGGCAGTCTTGGTTAAGGAAGAGTGCAGTCACATGACCGTCTTGGGTGAGGAAGGGTCTGGAGTCACATGACAGTCTTGGGTAAGGAAGAATCTGGAGTCACATGGCAGTGTTGGGTAAGGAAGAGCGGAGTCACATGACAGTCTTGGGTAAGGAAGAGTCTGGAGTCACATGGCAGTGTTGGGTAAAGAAGAGTGGAGTCACATGACAGTCTTGGGTAAGGAAGAGTCTGGAGTCACATGGCAGTGTTGGGTAAGGAAGAGTCTGGAGTTATATGACAGTCTCGGGTAAGGAAGGGTCTGATTGTGCACATGCCTGACTGGGCGTGACCATGGGGCAAGTCCAGGAGTTAGGCAGATCTCAGGGAGGACCTGCTCAAGGCCTGAGCTTTGTCTGGGAAGTGAGGCATAAGCAGCTAAGGCTTCAGGAGATCCTCGGTGAGGATGTCCCTACCCTTGAAGCCAAATGGAGGAGGGAGGAGGTCATGGGTCAGTACCGTCAGCCATAGGTCTGTCTTATGCCTGTCGCTGATTCAACTCGTGCTTCAAATTTTGAAGCTGTGATTAGAATATGAGTTTGTGTCACTTTGAAACCCATAATTATATGAATAATTTTGAATTCTATTAGACAGGCATGACACAGCACTACTTCTCTTCGTGTGTGCTATCAGGACAGATTTGATGCATATTTATGTGTAATTTAGTCAGTTAATTTCTTATGATTGAAATAGCTTCTTTCATTTTTAGGTTTATCTTGACTTAGCATATGACAGTCACTCTGAAATAAAAAAAACATAAAAAAGAAAAGAATAGGAATATGAATATTTACAATTATCTTTTTATGAACAAAATTACCATAAGAAACCTGATATTTTGAAAGACGCATATTGTCTCATTTTTTGCTTATTTAATTTTTCCCTTAAGGAATAATTTCTTCTTCCTTTTTTTTTAAAGTTCTTTGCTGGCTGTTAGAATAGAAATCTTTTCTCCTTAATGGAATTTATTCTCCATTATCAATTCTAATAATGCATTAGAATTTTGGCTTATTCCATCCATATCTTGGGGTTTTTTCCAAGTCATTTTTGTAAGATGCTGGGCAAGAATAACCTTCATAAGAGCCCTGCTGGTTTCTCTGTCTTGCTGTAGTTACTTTTAGAGGGAGTAGTTTCTGCTTAGATCTTCATTTCTATGTATCATTTTTCACTACAGGCAACTAGGAATCCTTGAGAATAGCTGATCTAGGGTTGTGGAGGGAAGCCTGGAAAATTTTATTGAGCCAAAACACAAGGAAGTACTCAAGATATTTAATGGGAGTATGTCCCAAGGACAGAGCAGCCAGATGCAGGAGGTGCACCATGGCCAGATTGGGGCAGTTTGAACATTAGCATAAGCAAGGTCAACAACGAATTATGAGCCACTGAATGGAATTAGAACATGGATATGTATATTTGCAATAGATACATGCTACAGGCCAAGAGACAGAGGGACACAGGAAGGGAAAGCTCCCTCTTGCAACATAATACTAACTGTTCATCTAGAGCAAAGGTTCACAACCTTCCTAATGCTGTGACTCTTTAATACAGTTCCTCATGTGTGGTGACCCCAACCATAAAATCATTTTTGTTGCTACTTGCTTGTTGGGGGCAGAAGCAAAGAGGTCCTTGTGCTCACAGAGAAGCACCAAGAGAACCAGGGATGTTAATCTTGCAGGGGTGTCTCCAATACCTGCATTCAATCCAGAAAGGTGAAAGTGGATTTTGTTAAGGACATGGTGACCTCTTGCCACCTGTGGAAGCAGACCTCATCCACCTTCTGCTATAGAGGCAGACCTCACCGTAAATCCCCAGAATGATCATTCCAGACTCTTTCCTCCCTAGACCATTACTCATCTTTAGAGTAGATGTCACAGTACTCTGTGGCATGCTGACCTCTCTGCTGTTGATCAGAGACCACATTAGATTCCAGGCCTTTTACCTATAGAACCCACCCTCATGGTCACCTGTTATGTGTAGAAGAATCTCTCTGTAGACACACCTTAAGCTCTGTTGTGTACCTGGAATTGGACTGATGTTGCTTGGAAACCTCTTCCCAAAGTGTACTGTGTTTTAAATATGCTGACAATGCACCACCTGGTATTAGGTTCCCAGAAGTCTGATCCAGGTTGATGAAGTCAATCTACACTGGGTTTCTTGTCTCTTTGCTGATCACTGTCTGCATTGACAACTGCCAGGACCTCCACACTTCATAACTGTAATATTGCTACTGTTTTGAATCATAGTGTAAATATCTGTGTTTTCTTGTAGTCTTAGTGGATCCCCGTGACAGGGGTTGCTCGACCCCCAAAGGAATCTTGACTCCCAGGTTGAGAACTGCTGATCTAGAAGGATGGAGTAGCCTGTTGCCACTTTGTGGCCTTCCTAGTAAAAATTGACTACATTTAGAATGCTTAGTGTATGCTATGTCTAGGGCAGAGATTATCACTAAGGGTAAAGGGAAGATGGCAACACATTACAGAGATTACAGATTCACCTGAGCAAGTGGCTGATGGCACCATCAGGAGCAGGAGGGCCTTCTGGGCTTCTGGAGCTCTGGTAAGTTCACATGCTTACAGCAGGGCCTTTGCCAGAGATCCACTGAGCCATCAGGAGCAAGTAGCAGAGGAACCTGAGGTAAAGGTCTTTGGTGCATGGTCATGAAAAACAAGAAAGATGGGAACTGTCCCAAGTCAGAAGAGGATGAAGTGGGTATAGCTGGGGTAGAGCCTTAGGTTGACATGCACAAGGCAGACCATCCGTTAGTACCATAAACAAACCAAACAAAAAAGGACAGCAACCCCAAACTAGGAGACCAAAGAAACCATGTGGCTGAGCACAGAGCTCCTTCCTGGGCAGTACAGGGCACCACTAGGAGAAAAAGACTGAATTGTTCTGGGGTTACTGTGGGCAGAATAAGTTTTCCTGGTGTGAGCCTCACATAGGTGTGTAAGAAACAGCAGTGTTGAATGTAGGTTCTTCTCAAAGTTTTAGAGATAGTTCATGGGGGAAGAGGGCTGTAATGAGCAATAAGGCAGTGCTAGAACTCTGCCAGGGCTGATTGCCAATGGCTCCTTTGTTCACTTCTTGCAGCTTGTCTACAAATTGACACTGTCTCAAAATCAGTTAAAAGTAGAAAGTGAAACATTTTTAGAATATGAGGCTGCTAATACATTTTTACAAACTACAGATAATTTTGAATAGTTGTTGATGTAATTAAAATGTCAATTCTTTCATTAATATTAAGAACACTTTATTGGTAGATAGGGAAATAAAATTATATGAGGTTGATGTAATCTATATTGTCTAGAAATTCACTGTTGGGGCTGCAGATGCAGCGTGGTGGAGGAAGAGTGTCTAGTGTGTCAGGTCCTGGCTGCACCTCGTAGAACTAAACACTGCTGAGGGGGGACGTACCTCACCAGTACATTATACACACGGTTAAAAAGTACTTCTTCTTTTCCTCTTTTGGTTTTTTAAGACAGGGTTTCTCTGTGTAGCCCTGGCTGTCCTGGAACTCACTCTGTAGACCAGGCTGGCCTAGAACTCAGAGATCCTCCTGCCTCTGCATCCTGAGTGCTGGGATTAAAGCCATGCACCACCTCCTGGCTTAAAATTATTTCTAGATGGTAGAATGTATACCTTTTCATGGTGTAATCAGACAATATTTCACCTACTCTAAATGTTGATGCTACAGTATACTGTTATAATTGAGAAAAAAACCAGCGATTGTAATTCTAGAATAATGTCAATTGTTTGATATGTCTCAATTCAGAGATAATAAAAGAATAGAAAAATATGTCTTAAATACATGAAATAAATGCTATATTGAAGTGATTAAGTAGGTAGATAATTTAAAATAATTAGCATTTTAATTATTGCCATATCATGGTTTTTGTCAGAAAATCAAGAATTGACGATATGTATCTGCTAAAATCAGTCATTTTATAATTGGTACTAGAAAATGTCCTTGTACTGCTGTTAATGTGTCTTCTTGTGTTAATAGGTTGCTTGATAAGTATTTGTGCCTGAAGTGTTGTGTTTGAAAGTATTTTCAAGGATTTTAAAGTGTGGAAAGGCATTTTGAAGTCCTCTCCTTTGTTACTGTTCTGGGAACCTAAAGGCTGTTGTTCTCCACAGATGCCACAGCTGGAGAAGAAACTTGAGCAGGAACTTGAGGATGATGCTAGAGTTATCGCCTGCCGGTTCCCTTTTCCACACTGGACCCCAGACCACATTACTGGAGAGGGGATTGACACCGTATGGGCGTATGACATGAGCAGGTTTAGAGGGCGGGAAAAGAAGGCCTGACCATGAGAGAGCATCAAGTAGGTGGGTCATCCAGTAGACCTTCACGTAGGTCACAGAGCAAACTTTCCTTGACATGGAATGAGAAATCACCATTGCTGTCCTTACCCTTTGGAGAAAAGGGACAGGATCTCAGAAAAACATTTAGGTGTAAAGCCAGTTTCACGCAGCCTGGTTTGGCCTTGAGTTTTCTGTGTAGCTTGGGATAACCTGAGCTTCTGGTCCTTTCTCCTCTACCTTCCTACACTTAGATGCTTGAAGATATAAATAACTGAGTCATGTTTGTGGGCCAGAAGGTTGTCACCTGGAAGCAGTGTGGTTTAATGCCGCAGATGAAGAGGAAGGGGGCACTCATGCCAATGTCTGCAGTTTCCTACAGTTCTGTTCACAAGTGACATTTATCTCCATTCTGTAGTTTGTAGCTCAATTAATTTTCTAAAAGATTCAGACAGTGGCATTTATATTTTATAATGTGTATAAAGAATATATTGCCCTAATGCTGGTAATTTCTGTACTTTATTGATTGAATATGTATATGTGCATGTTCAACTGTGTGTAAACAGTCTATGTAACAAGCACATGGTTTAGAATTGGGGAAATCGTGACAAATTGCGCTTGGCTTTAATTAGCAGTGTTGTACATTTGGTGTTACCATGACTAACATCTTAGTTTTGATGAGGCCCAGGGAGAAGTTAGTAAGGGTGTAACATGAGTGCTTGAGCTCTGGGATCTGAGTTGAGTTCTGGTTCTTAGCAGGAGGCCTTGGGCAGTGACTTAGTGTCTCTGAGCCTTGGTGTCTGCTGCCAGGACAGTAACACATTAAACATGGGTCTGGGGGGGGGCAATTTTTAAAATTCACTGCAGTCTTTGGTCTGTAAAAGGGAAAAGGAAAGCTTATGCAGGGAAGTTACAGATTATTTCTGCTAGTCACTTATTTTATGAGAACAGCCATTTATTTAACATTTCTCACAAGAAAAGACTTGACTGAATGATGTAGAAGACAAGTTAGAGAAAACCTTTGATTGTGAGTAGACAGGCTTCATAGATCTGAAATGTGAATGCTGAATGAAATGTGAATGCATGGAGCTACTCATCTGTTCGTATCAGAGAAAAGGATGAGTCCTGCTCCTACACTGGGACCTGATCCCAAACTGTCCTGATGGAAATTTATTTTAAAAGATGGCTGAATATCTAGATAAATGTAAAAATAGCATTTGATACTTCTCTTGTAAGTGAGGACCAACTGGAGACACGTGTTCTGTCACTCATTCATCACATGCATGATGTCTGGAGAAGCTGTGCTGATTCATGATGAGAAGGCACACCTGGCTCGTGGCCTCCGGGATTTCCTGTGTAGAAGACAGAAACAGATAGTAAACTTAAGTGTGTGTGAGGTTCTCTGAAGAAATGGAAGCTTTGTGTGTTTATGGGGAGCCCACGGAAGGCGTAGGCATTACATCATTTGTTGCCTGCTACCATCTTTCACTTTCCAGGTCTCTGGTTTTCCCATGAAGAGTGAGTTCCATTGTGTGGGTGGGTGGTTTTGGTGGGAGCACAGACCTGGCTGTCCATCTCTTGCTCTCACCTCCTGCTCTTGCTACTGTTGTAATATTCTGGACACATACTGAGAGGGGCCACCTCTGCTCCTTGCCAGTAGATGTGGGGGTCTTTTGTACCTTGGGTGTATTCCATAGTTTTCTATATATGTTCCTGATGGGTTTGTAAAGGTATCAAACTACAGTCATGTGTAAATTACCATTTCCCCTTTTAACATGGTAAGCATTAGCCACCTCAGAGTGTCTTAGAAGTGTTTTGGCCGACTTCTGTGAGGTTAGTCCTTGAGATGGTGCTTTGTTAAACAGTGCAATGAGGACTTTTCTAGTGGAAGATAGGGCTCCTCTGAATTTTTGTCAGTTACTAGGTTAAGGACACTGATAAAGCTTGCTCACGACAGCTATTTGAATGTAAAAAATAGGTTCATGTCTGAGCAGATTGGAATCAGAGACCAGTGCCAACTTGATAAAATTCAAAGCTAAAGAAGACAGAATGGCAGCCTTCGGGGAGCTCTTGACGAGCATGTTGAAAGAAGCCCACCGTCACTCTTCGATCATACATGTTTTGATCCAAGGGCTCCTTGCTCATCAGCATGAGCTCCTCACTGTGCTCATCTGTCCTGGTGTGAGGTTGTGCTGATTGGCATTGGAGAGCCTTGAGGATCCTTGGGAAGAAGTCCATGCCCAGTAGAAATACATCCATGAAGTCACCCAAAGCTAGGCTTGCCTTGGATCATGAAGTTCCTTCCTGTGGACAGGAAGCAGAAGCTGGACAGCCACTTGGTGGGGATATTGCAGAAGCAATGTTTGCAGCATACCGGAGTCATAGGATGATCTGAATTGATGTGGCAGAGGGGTGGTGGTGGTGGTGGTGGTGGTGGGTGGGTGTTCTTCACTCTTCCCAGGCCCTCCTGAATCATTTGAACAGACTTTTGAGGCCAGGATAATAATGTGGGGTCTGACTCTGGCAGGATTTCCTACCCCACAGATGTAAGTTGCTCATAGCCTGTTTTTTTTTCCCTATAGGTTTGCAGAACAAGTGGTGATGAATGAAGTTAAATTATACCAAAACAGCTATGAAGTGTGAGGCCTTAGGAAAGTTGGGCTCTAAAATTTCGGACCTGGAGTTAGCTGGAATGTACATAGCTCATTTAAAAAATACCTTTGTACGTGTGTGGGTGGGGGGCACCACTACACGCATGTGCAGATCAGAGGACGTGTGTGGATCAGTTCTCTCTTACCATGTAGGTCGTCCTAGGGGTCAAACTCAGGTCATCAGGTGTGGTGGCAAGGGTCTTTGCTCACTGAGCCTTTTGCTGGCCCATGGACACAGTTCCTGAAGCTTCTTGTCTGCATTGGTCACTAATGGTTCTTCATCCTGTAAAGGACACTGTCCACTCTCAATCTTGTCAAGAGAGCAACCATATGGGGCCCAAACAGTCTTCCAGTCCTCCCACAATCAGTTGGAACAGGGTTGAGTATCTCAGTTGAGTCTGGACATGCAGGGTGGACTGTGCTGGGGTTGAGAAGTGAGGAACTAGTTGGACTTTGTTAAACTAGGGAACATGAAGATGGGGTCCAGACATCAGAGTTAAGGACTAGAGGCTAAGACCAGAGGAACCACAGTGTTCATTGGATCCGCAAGTTAACAGACTTCGAGCTTGTGTGTCATGGTCCCAAGTGGGAGGAGCCAGCCCAGAGGACCAGAGACTGTTGGGAACAGAGCCCAGTCTGCCCTTATTTTGCTCAGATGGAGTGAACTGTTTCTTGAAGGATTCCACTTATAAAGTAGGTCATTTTTAGAACCAATGAAAATACCACTTGCCAAAACAGGTATTAAACACAGGGAACTTATTATCCCTAAAAACACTGTGGACCATATACTTGAACAGGAAGGTGGATATTTGTATAACCGAAAAGGTAGCTGCATCTAAATAACAGTAATGTCTCTCAGCTTGGAAATCATTGGTGGTTTGAGAGTCCTCTTAGGCCGAGTGCCTTCCTTTAGATTGAGGTGCTCTGTAATAACGACACATGATTCTCTTGGAAGCGGGACACTTGTGACTCAATGAACTGATGCAAATTGAACATGAGCAAAAGGACGAGGGGATGGTGGGAGAAAGACTGCCATTTGGTACTCTAGTTGGTTTTGTTACATATAACTTTTATAGGTGGGGAAATTAGATGTCTTATTTTTCTAATTTAATATTATGGTGTGAACATTATCCAGGAAGGATTGATCAAACAATGGCTCATTGATCTCAGGGTTTAATCTAAGGGTGGAAGGGAGACATTGAGTTAGTTTTCTTCTCTGTCACATTACTACAGAAAAGAAGCATCAAGTCCAAGTCTTCATGAGAACGCAAGCTCCAGAGCAGTCTCCGAACTGCACACATCTCTGCAGTTTGGTGGGTGCATTCAGGTGGTGGGGTTTTACAGGGTTTGCTGCAAATTCATCTCTTGTCTATATGTGTGTGTGTGTGTGTGTGTGTGTGTGTGTGTGTGTGTGTGTGTGAACAGAATGACAGTGTGGCAGAACATATTGGACTAAGTCCCTAGAAGTGTAAGTATCAGTTGGCAAAAGCACAAGACAGGTGAAGCTTCCAGCTTGTGATCTTTCCTCTGTGCTCCCCCCATGACTGGTTGGTCCCTGGTACATTACAGATCATTTTATCACAAGGCCTTTTGTTCACATAGCCACTGGTGTTTGACTTAAACATTCCCTTACTCATTGCCATCTTCAAAGGCATTTGCATTTTGTCAAAGGATCTCTTTAACATAAGTTTCATTTTGGCAAGACTGAAAAAAGTTAATTTGTAACAGAGACATGTCAGGTTCCTCTGTAGTCCCTGCTCACCACACTGCAATATCCATGGCAGCACAGAAAGATAAAGCTGGCCCATGGTGAGTCTTCTCTTCCTGAACATGTTAGTGCTGAAAAGTCCGTAGCTGAGAAACTGGGATGTGGTGTGTGAACTTGTCTACCATAGGCCTTGGACACATAGGAGAATTTCATGGGTGTGGTGGTACACAGCTGTAATTCCACACTTGGGAGATGGAAGCAGGGGTCAGGAGTTCAAGGCCATACTCAGCTACATAGTAAGTTCAAGGGCAAGCTAGATTACAGGAAACCTTGTTTCAGAAAAAGGGAGAAGGAATAAAATTATGGGAGCTCTGCAGTGTAGACATGGCATTTCTCTGTTGGATAAATTAAGGCATGTAGGCAGTGACTTATTTAGCAAGGCACATGCAGTGCTTAAATCTCCTAATCCTGGCTGCCAGTAAAGACACACATGTGTTTCCCTTATTCGAACTTCTTGGCCAGGGCAGGGGAAGGCACTGCTGCTAGGAGCCAATACCTTTGATGGCATGAGCTCAGATATTAGCAGCGTCTGAGTAGCTCCAAAGCTTGGTTTCTGAGACCCTTTGAACAGGCTTCTCTTTGGTAGGCCAAGGGTGGTCCTTGATTGGAGGAATATGCTGAAGGAGAAAGCTGCAGCTCTGACAGATTTCTCCTACCCACTTTAAAGAGGCTTAGCAAAGCAGTATCTTCTGAGAACAACTGCTTTACAGTTTTCCCCCAAGACACTGCGGTGCAAGCACATCACCTGGATTAGAATGTCAACGTTGCATGCATGTGTCTCTTTTAGCTGCAGCTGCCCTGGCAGTGTGGAGAGACTGGGGGTTAAACAACGGAAGTGTGGACCTCATCTCTGGAGGCTGGAGTCTCTCCTAGGCTTGAGGACGGTGGCCTTCCTGCTGTGTCTTCACATAGATTTTCTCTGTGCCGCTGTCCCTGGTGTCTCGCTGCATGCCCTGGTCTGCTTTCCTTGTAAGGAAGCCAGGCAGATAGGTTTAGGGCTCACTCTGATAACCCCATTTAAACTTACTTGTGTGTGTGTGTGTGTGTGTGTGTGTGTGTGTTGGAGCAGGCATGCCTATGTGC